TCCTCCTCTCTCTCTCTCTCTCCCTCTGTGTGTGTGTGTGTGTGTGTGTGTGTGTGTTCTGCACTTCTAACCTCCATTGCTTCCACCACGGGTTGCATCCACCGCAGGTGACACAAAGAAGAAGCACATCGCTTTTAACGGGAAATAAATAAAAGCAAGGAGGCGAATGCCACAGGAATCACTCCGGCAAGAAAATTGGAGAAAAAAACACTCGACCACAACACGAACAAAAGTGAATACACAGCAAGAAGAAAAAAAGACAATAGGTTCTGGGGCAATCGCTATGCTTTCTGGAAAACTAGTAAGGCAACAGTAGAGATAAGTGCAAAAACATCCTTGACTTGTGCAATTCCGTTCCCAAGGCAGCAAGAGGGGACTGCTGAATGCGCCACCAACCCGCCCTCACCGCGCGAGCCGGCGAGGGTTGGATGGACGGGGCTCCTTCAAAGAAATATTTCGGCTTTGCGGAGCAGCCCGGGGCAATGCAAAGACAACACATCGATGAACGGCAATGTATATCCATATGCATACTTCTATGCAACAAAGCTAGTAAGCGTAATACCACATTGATCTGCCTTACGGGGTATCAAAAAAAAAGCAAGCCCTCTCTCCAACACACACACAAAAAAAGGCGGTAAACTCATCTTGAAGAGTAATGAAAACAGAGTCGACGCGGTTAGGAATATTATCTCTCAGGTTCATTGCAATACTTTAGGGAAAGCGTCGCATTTCAGCAAAGTCAGTCCGCATATATGCACGCACACCAAGGCACACAGGAAAAAACGAAAGAGAGAGATAAAGAGAGAACCGCATTGGCGAGATGTAGGGGTTTGCCAAACTCACTCTTATTCTCGAAGATAAACACACACACACACACACACACACACATCGTACTTACACGCAGACCCCTCCCTCACTAGTGCCAACAAAAAAGAACATCAAAAAGAAAAGGAAGCAGACATGGGAGAAGAATCCGAGTACGTATGAAGCAGTGTTTATCTACTTCATTTTATTCGTTACGTGTGGCCGCACCTTTTGTTGTTGTTGTTGTTGTTTTTGTATGCTTCTTTCGCCACCGTCTGCTCAACTTCTTTTCTCCAGCTAATCAAGTTCAGTTTCTGTATCGTTTTTTTTAATGTTTTCGTTAACACTGCTAGGATTCCGATGTTATTTGTATTTATTTATGCGCACATATTTTCTTCCTTGCTATGTATGTATATATATACATACACATATACACACATATATATATATATATATATATGTATATGTATATGTACCGATGTCGTTTTTGGGCAACACCAGTTTCCAATTTCCCGCCGATGCCAATGATATATGAGCAGAGACAAATGTATGTACATATATAGATATATCACTAGCAAAACAGAACCCAAAACAATCCAAGTGAAAACTCGAGTTGTTAAATACGCGTCCGCCCGCCGAAAGCTACTCAGAAGGAGAGGGCGTAGGGTTCTTTTTCTTGACCTCTGCGGGGGACAACGCGCGAATGGAGGAAGGGGAAGAGGAGGAAGGCGGCGCCACAAGCTTCAGAGTAATTGGTCGAGTGGTTTCAAAATCCAACGCCTTCATGAGAGCCTTAACCTCCGCCGCCACGTCGCGAGAAATGGTGAGTTTATCATCGGCAAAAACCTTGCTGTCTGAGCAAGACGATGTCGACTCCTCCAGGCTGCTAAACCCTGCCGCTGACAGTGGAGTCAACTGGGGAAACGCCATAATAGCATCTACTAGCCGACGGCGATTTGGCTCCATTGCGGCTCCCTCCTCCTGCAAACTAGCAAAGACATCCTGCAGTTCGGTCAGTTGTCCTTTTAGTATGGATGCGTCTTCGTCCTGCTGCGCCTCCGTGTGCCTGTGGACTTCGTCGGCGCGTGGACAAAGAGAAGGGTCGCCAATGGCTCCCTTGATAGAAATAGGCTTGGGTTCACGGACGGCAGACTTTGCCGCTGTGACGCGCTCCAGCAACGCCCCGATGACTTGCACGAGAAGATTCACACACTGACGGTGTTGCGCGGAGACGTGACTCTTATGCTCCCTCCAGGTGGGTGACCCTAGGTCCTGTTGCTGGCGTAATGGATAATGCTTTTCGTGTCCTTGAGCTGAAAAATTGCTCTCCATGCTATACTGCCGGTCATGAAGAGTAAGATTTGCTCTATCTGTAAAGTCGCTTTTCTCACTTTTGCGTTCGCACTGGGCGTCTTCCGCGCGCCGCAGACTTTCATCCTTCTCCTTGGAAAAGGATGACTGGTGACTGTGCAAGCGGTATTTTCCTTGCATGCCACTTTGCGAGTTTGGAGCATAATAGTATGATGCCTGTAACGGCACCACTCTACCATTGGGCTTGTTGTAGCGCGGTGGTTCCTTCGCCGGAATTGCAGTCGTAGCTGGCGGCGGATTCATCATCTCTTGCGAAGGCCATGGAAGAGGAGTTTGGGTTTGTGGGGGAGGCGGAGGTGGAGGCATTGAGGGTGTCGAAAACCCATGCATTTGGCGTCTGTCGAAATATGGTCCCTCCGTAGGCATTCCAGGTGCAACCATCGACTGCGACGATGGCGGCATCAACATCGTTTGCGCTGGTGGCGGTCCAGCTCTGCCACACCTGATGTCGTAATAATTTTCATCCACCGCCCTGGAAAAACTTGATGATACTACTTCGTAGGGTGGTGGAAGAAGCACGGCGGGTGAGTAGCCTTGGCCGTTATTGGAGTTACGCACCGCGGCCTCATGTGAAGTTGCAGATGTACCCGCGTTAACTACTCCCTCAGGGACAAAGCTGCTTTCATACAAAGGACTTCCCTTTATGCTGTCATTGTACGAGGGTAGCCTCGGCCCGCTCGGCGAATTTCGTGGGAACTGTCTTGGCGGCACACCGGACCGCGGTGAGCGGTGCGGCGAGGAGGTAGCAACGCTGTTGTCTTCACTTTGCCCTTTACGCGTCGACGTGCTACGTGAACCAGAGATTCCCATTGCTGCTGACGCCTGGTTTGCCCTTTCGAAGTCCTTCTGGGCGGTAAATGAGGCCACTCTGCCCGCAGCCTCCGGGGGAAGTGGCTTGTTCTTTGGGTACATGTTTCACGCCTCTGGTCCCTCTATTCCTTCAGCAAAGTCGCTGCAACTCCGGTTTATCTTCTTCTGACGCTGCCGTCTCAATTTGATTCTAAAACTTTCTACCACCTCGTGCGTGCAGAGAAGTGTACGGGAGAGGTGTAGGGCAAAGCTGCTCTGTGCTCCCGCGAGGGTTCCTGCTACCGTTCCTTGTAGTTCTTTGTGCGATTACCTTTTAATTACTGTTATGACGCGGTCTTCACCCTTCGATTGTGAGAGAAACCAAGAACGACACGACGGAGCCCGCCCTAACCACTTTATTTCCTTTTATTTTCGTTTTATTATTATTTTTTTTATTTTCCCTTCTGAGCGGTGGCTCAACGCCGCCACTTCCCTTCCGGCCCGCTTCTTCCTGTCGTCTCTCACTCACTCCACGTGCGCTTCCCCCGTGCCTCGCTGTTGTGTCCTGGTGGATTCGAAGGGATTCAAAGGCAACTTCGGCTGCTCGTTTCGGTGCTTCCGACGGAGGCCCGGGAAGAAAATAAAAGTAAAAATAAATAAATAAAACAACAGAAGCAGAGATATACTCAGCACCTGCTGTCCAAAAGCACAAGCACAAAATTCCACCGGGCAATCGTCAGAACCCAAGTGCAGTTATAGGTGAAGAAGCAGGGCAGGTGTACAAAGACGCCCCCACGCACTTACTTGGCTTTACCGGGTCGCAGATACCTCTCACACGCCCCAAAGCCAGAACGCAATACAGAAAGCAAGCCATGAACACGCACAGAGGCCCACAGGAAAAACCAAGGTAAAATAGGAAACACAAATCAATATGCACTTATAAGATTACGTCTCGGGGCCATCAATTTCTCGTTCCCCCCCCCCCCCCAACAACAACGGCTAAATACACCATTCGTTGTTACATTTGCCTATTCTTAGCTATTGGTGTCTTCAGCAATAAGGAAAACATACATCAAAATCAATGGCACTTTTTCTGTTGTTCTCGTTGCATCTTTATTCATCTACTGTACCCCCCCCAGGT